ACCCCTTCTCCAGGCTGGCTTGGGTGCCCAGGCTTGTCCCTCCTGCTACGGTCCCCTCTGTTCCTACTCTGATTACTCTCCCTTTCCTGGGCTAGTTCTCTGAAAGTATCTTGTATCATTTAAAACTTTCAAAGTTACGTTTATTTCAGTCCAGTGTGGAGGTCAGAGAACAACTTGTGGAAGTTGGCTCTCTCCTTCCTCCACAGGGAGGGTGGGTGGGGTCAAACCCAGGTCACCAGGCTTGGTAACAAGTGCCGATACCTGCTGAGCTATCTTACCTGTGCCTTCTATTTATTTGATGTCTCTGTTCTATTCTCTTTGTGAAACACATATGAATGCAGTTCATACATGGATTGTGTCCTGTTTTCATGTGTTCTCTCTTGGGAGAGAACAGGATAGAGAGGAGTGGGCTGATGGGAGATGTATTCCAGAGTCAGGCATGCAGCAGATAGAGTATGGGCCATATAGAGAGGTGTCACAGGGGCATATAGAGAGGTGTCACAGGGGCATATAGAGAGGTGTCACAGGGCCATATAGAGAGGTGTCACAGGGCCATATAGAGAGGTGTCACAGGGCCATATAGAGAGGTGTCACAGGGCCATATAGAGAGGTGTCACAGGGACTTGAAGCTCCACCTTCCTAGAACAGACTAGAGGAGCACTGGCCAGGAAGTGACCGTCCCTCTCTTGGTGTCGCTGGGACTCCCTACCTGTGTTGCCAACAGTCAGTTGACTCATGAGCCAGTAGCTTGGGGGACTGTTGGGCTGCATGATAGAGCGTAGTTACAGCATCCAGGGCAGGACTCACATTTAGGGGTGGCTAGGAGGGCACAGGGCCTGCTAAAGGAGAAAGAGAGAATCTGGGACTCTTGAGAGAACAAGGCTCTTGTGGCAAGGGAGCAGGGTGAAGGAAGAGGGCTGGTGCAGTACACAGGACTGGAGCCAGAGACCCCTGGAAGGGCTTAGCAATCAGAGTAGCCAGGAGCCCCCAGGCAGCGTGGCCTAGGCTGGAGGATTCAGCTGAGAAGGTGGAGAGCAGAGCGGGGGAGGAGTGACCATCTACTCCTGGGACTGTCTGTAGGAATTGGGAGTGAGGAGGCTGATTGCCACGAGGAAGTGAAGGGAAAGCTTTTATGGTGGCAGAGCTTCGGCTTGGGCCGAGTGGGGGAGGAGAAAGCACACTGCACCTTCCTGAGCTCTGGACAACTGATGGCTTTGCTGTTCTGAGCAGACGGGGTGTCTGGGTGGTGGAATTCACTTCTCTTAAACCAACCCTGGTTGGGAGCAGAGTTTCAGGCTGACTTTCTACCCAGTGTTGGTGCAAACCTGACCTGTGCCTGGAAGGAGCAGAGACCGGATATGTCTATCTGTCTGTCTCAGGGAGGGAAGGGCTGTGGCTAGATGCGTATGCTAGCACTTTCACACACCTCATTCTTATTCTTACGGTGGCAAGAACAGGGTTAACACAACTCTGGAAAAATCTACCAGAATAGCTCAAGCGAGCAGTTCTTCTTTTCTGTTCAGTGTTCTCAGCCTGGACACCAGGCCTTCCCGTGACTGGCCTGTGGTCAGCTGTCTCAGGGTTTCCCTTTTCGATCACACTTCCTATCCTAGCGCAGATAAACTCAGCTGCTCACTCATTCTCCTGCACCCACTGGGTCAGCACAGGGGCGCACCCTGTTCCCAGCGGCTGGGGAAGGACAGTTGATGCGAGAAGGTTAGTTGAGAGCTGAGGTCTGGACACCTGCAGTCCTGGGCACCTGCTTCCTCTCCCCCGGGCCACCTGCCCCCCGCATATGGAGTCTCAAGCTGCTTGCTTTCAGAGCCACCCAAGAGAGCATGAATTCACATGGGCCATGTGTGTGCGTGTGTGCATGGCAGAACATTCATGTGCGTGTGGATGTCTTGGAAGAGGAGGCCTGCAGACTGTTGCATGCAGTTTGCTCATCTGGCCAGCTGAAATTCTACTTTCATGAAGTAACTTTCAAACAGGAAGTGGGTTTCCAAAAATGTTCCCTTCTGACAGAATGGGGGTGGTGGGAAGAGGCTCATGGCTCTGTGGAGCTGGTGGGTCTTTGAGAGACATGAAGTTCCAAACTACTCTTCCGGGCAGGCCTCATGATGGTCCCCAGACCTATCCCAGAAATAGTCGTATTTATCTTAAGAGGCTCCCATGTCTTTGAGTTTGACATTAATGAATTGCTCCTGTAGTCAGAAAGAACAGACACAGGGCTTTGAGTGCTGACCCCCTCTGGGCACTGTTCCTATATCAGCAGAGATAGAGTCAGGCCTCAGCCTCATAGGGTCTTTTGCCTTCTGCTCTCTGGCATGAAACAAACTGATTTTCTTCTATGTTCAAGCACTGCTAATTGAAAACTTCCAGGGATTTTCATAAGAGCAGAAGTTTTTGGAGCTGGGTGTTCCCTCAGCTAAACTCTGCAAGCACCCCCTGAAGCTGAGAGCCTCTCAGGGAGAAAAAGGGTTTCCTTAGGGCCCCCTGACGTACCCCATCTCCTCTACAAACCTCAGCTGTGTGCTACATGTGAAAGGCATCTCTCCGTTGCCTCACTCTGTGGAGGCGGAGGGGGCCTGAGACCTGAGGTTCACACAGGAGCTATCTCTGCTGCCACAGAAGACTCCATCCTCTTCAAGAAAAGGGAGGGAGGGCCAAGAGAAGTTCTGGTGGAGAGTGCTGAGTCCGCAGCCCTGCCCACCACAACTGTGAAGACTTTAAATAAAGCTGGCTTCTGCCATAAGGGAAGGTCATAGCCCGTCACAGTTCTTAATTGCTTCTACCATCAGGACATGTCACAGCCCTCAGTGTAATGAGATTGCAGGTGAGTGAACATCTTGTCAGCCCTTGTCTCCAAGATTTCCAGTGGGGCTGCGCTGGGGACTTTGGGCACACAGTGAGTATTCTCTGTATTACTTACACTCACTGTGTAAAACTGTACACTGTACACTGACAGAAAACGTCCTCTGGAAGACTGACAAGCCATCTATCCTAGAGAGCTCAGTGTGCCTTGTGGGACCAGAGTAGGACTCAAGTTTAGAGTCAGACAATCCTGGTGTCACCTATCCTGGCCCTGGTCCTCACCAGGAAACCAACATTAACAGGGGGGAAAGACTAAGAGGTTAAGGGAAGGGAACAGGCTTAGCATGTCCACGGCACTGCAGGTGCTGGTGGCGATACATGCACATATGTGTGGTTTCATGGGACTTTATTTGTCCTGGGGAAACATACATAATAAAAACCCTTTGTTTGGAGTGTCTCCATGGCGCCAAGTGTATTCACAGTGCTGTGCAGGCACTGCCACTTACTGGATCCCAGATCCTCTCACGACTCCAAGAGAAGCCCCATGTCCACCATGGCTCTGCTCCAGAGGTTTCCAGCGTCTTAGCCAAGGAATCGAAATAAAGATGCACAAAAACTGTAAAGTAGCAAGGAAACAGGTTAAGAGCACTGACTTCTCTTCCAGAGGTCCTGGGTTCAATTCCCAACAACTACACGATGGCTCACAATCATCTGTAATGGGATCTGATGCCCTCTTTTGGTATGTCTGAAGACAGCGACAGTTGTACTCACATAAATAAATAAATAAATAAATAAATAAATAAATCTTTTTTTTTTTTTAAAAAGAGAAGCAGGAAAAGTACTCAAAAGCTGAGCCATAGTACAGCTCAAAAAAAAAAAAAAAAAGACACTGTCAAGAGGGACAACAGAGGCCAGGCATGATAGCACATGCCTTTAATCCCAGCACTCAGGAAGCAGAAACAGGTGAATCTCTGTGAGTTTGATGCCAGCCTGGTCTGTATAGTGAGTTCTAGGACAGCCAGAACTACAGAGTGAGACCCTATCTTAAAAGCATACAATGATTGACAGCAGGCCACACAAGTGAGGGTTTACTCAGGGACCCCAGCTTGTTGTCTGGGGCTGCTTTGATGGGGTCTTGAGGAAGGAGGGGCTGTTTACTAAAGGCTGTGGGTGATTCTCTATTTGAACTGACATGTCTAAGATAGAAATTTTACTGTGCATATGTCCCTTTCTACAATGTGTCTAATTTGAATCATATGCACACTCAGTGGTACATAGGCATAAATAGCATAAATGGTAAATAGAGAGATTTGCTCTAAAAATTCACTTAGAAGGCACAGTTTGTCTTATTGCTCAACCACTCCAAACCAGTTCAGGTCAGGTTGGCTTCCTACCAGTGTCCCTAGTTATGACTGGAGTCTGATTGAATGGAAACATGAATAATGCTTGGTGGTTGTTAAGGGAAGGAGACATTTATTCCACTGTTTGCAGTGAGCTGTTTGTGTAGTTCAAGGCAGGCGGCGGTCCTAGGTCCCTAGGTGCATCGTTAGGAGAAGACGCATGTGCACATAGAATGTGTAGGTGAAAGCCCTAGATTGGCAGTGCATTGTTGGAAAAAGGCTGTGCGCACATCCCAAGCTGAGTGAAGTCCCAGGATGCTCAGCTGCCCCTGTGCTTGCCCACCTCATCCTCATCCCCACATCTCCTCCCACATCTCCAGCAGCCACTAAATCTTTCTGTTCCTGGGCATCTGCACGTTCTTGTGAACAGCATGATACCATATGGAACCTCTTGAGTCTGGTTTCCTTCATGTAGCTTAACAGTGTCGAGGTTCATTTAGGTTTGAGCTTTGACCAGTGAGTTTCATTCCACCTCAGGACTGGGTAACATTTCCATGTGCTTCGAATTGGGAGGGATTGCAGGGTGACCCGAGTCATGCTGGATTGTCACTTTCATTGTTTCTGAATGGTCAGGGTAGCAATTTTGTCTCAGAACTCTTGGCCTCAGATGCGTTATTAGGTGTCGGGTAGGCCAGGCTGCTGTGGGCCTTCTCTGGGAGCTTGGCTCTGGAGGCTGCAATAGCTCCCAGCTGCAGCTCTTCCAGGGCCGGCTGGAGGGTGGAGCTGGCTTTAGGCCAGGAAAGGCTGTGCTGGTGGATAATAGTCCAGCTTCTCTGTCTCCTCCAGATGCAGGAGAAGGCCAAGGAGATCTACATGACCTTCCTGTCCAATAAGGCCTCTTCACAAGTCAACGTGGAGGGGCAGTCTCGGCTCAGTGAAAAGATTCTGGAAGAACCACACCCTCTGATGTTCCAAAAGCTCCAGGATCAGGTAATGTGACCTCCTTGCCTGGGCCTTGATCTGAAAAGCTATCTCTCTTCACTCTACGCCTGAGAGAATTCTTCAGGGAAATGCCACATTCCCCAGGAAATACCTCATCCAGCTGTTCGGGCCAAGGTTACTGAGGCGCTCTGTTTGAAGAATGTTGGGGAACCCAGGTTCTGGATTTGGACTGTGCTGATTCTTACTCTATGCATCATTTGAACTACTGGGGTTCGAAGCCATTTCTACCCGGAAGGGATGGGAGGCTGTGTCTGTCTGAGGGATGCAGGGTAAAGAAACATGGCAGTCGTAAGGGGAGGGGCAGTTAGGAAGCCCTACAAACATTGGCAGAGAATCCAAGACTGGTTTTGTTAAAATGACCAAACAACTCCCTTACTTCCAGTGGCCCAAAGCTGTAAGCAAATTTATAATGTAGCCCCTCAGCCATAACGACAAAGTGAAAATTTTGCAGTATATCCCACGTAGAACCGGAAGAGGTAAGTTTAAAAATGGACATGTTAAAGAGGTAAACCTTAAGTTTTCTGGCAGAATTTCTTATGAGGAATATTCAATAAATGTCACTAGACAAAAGGGACATGACCCCGATATTCAGACCTGAATTTATAAGTGTGTGTGCACATCTGCACTCCTCTGTTAACTGTGGGATGGGCTCTGGGTCATGCTTGCACCTCTGCTGGGAAGGCAGACTGAGGCTAAGAGACCCATGTGGAAGTAACATGGCACAGCTGTTGAAGGTAGAAAGAAAAGGTTCTGCAAATAGCTGTGAGGATTCAAAGTAGCAGGAACACTGGCCATGTTTTTGAACAGACGCCCAAAGATCTTCCTCACCATCTGCCCTGAGGAGACCACTCACAAAGAGGCCTTCTAACTTGAATAAACCAGTCATTTGAAGGCTGTGTTAAAACTGATGGTTAGCCCACTCCCAGGGCTAACTTCTCAGAACTGTAGGTCATACATGGTGTGGAAACACTTCTCCATGTTCTTTGGGAAGGCTGGCTTTTCAGGGCTCAGGCTATACACCATGGAGACTGTGCTGTCTGTGTGTTGGCTGAGCCTTTGCTTTTGTGGAGGAGCTTTTTGATCTCCTGGTGCATAGAGGCTAGAACAGCTTTTCTGAACCTGCGGGCCAGGACTCCTTTGGGGATCACACATCAGCTATCCTATGTATCAGATATTTATGTTATGATTTATAACAGTAGCAAAATTATAGTTATAAAGTAGCAATGAAATAACTTTATAGTTGAAGGTCACCACAGCCTGGGGAACTGTATTAAAAGGTCTCAGCTTTAGGAAGGTTGAGAACCACTGGGCTACAGGAGGTCCCAGCATCCAAGAGGCTCCATCTTTACTCCTCATCTGATAGAAAACAAAACACCCAGGCAGAAACACGAACAGAAGTACTTTGAGAACAGTTTCCAACCGACATAGTGGGGAATGTAGATCCCACGTAAATTCTGAATAAAATTTGGGTGCTGAGGGAACTCTGTCTGGGTCTCTGGGGAGATCTATCAGAGGACTACTGCAGGAGTCATTTTGAGCAATAGGCATAGATTTGGGAGGGAGAGGAAGAAAGAAGGCAGTTTTTGTGACTGTAGACACATGGGAGCATCTGTCTATTCTGGCCCTCAGGATCTTCTAAAAGGCTCCCATGGATGCTCTGAAGTACATCTGATGTTGAGAAGTTGGCCAGCAACTAGGTTCTAGGTTATCTTCAGTAACATTGGCCAATGCTGAGCTGTCCTAAGAACTGTTGTTTCACTTGGCATGTCTTATCCTGGTTTTGTTGACCGCAGAAACACGGCTCAAGGAGTCGTGATGGCTCCTTAGTTAAAGTCATTCAGAAAAACCAGGGGCACTCTGTATCCCTCATAGCCTTCACTGCCTTCCTGCTCAAGGGCAGTTTCTCTCTGCTGGGCAGAGGCTGTGATGTCCTTGGGACAGAGGGAGTACAGGGATCATGTGGACACAGACACTTGCTCTGTGGGGTTACAGAGACCGAGGTGGAAGTGAGCTGACAGAGTCTGGTGGGACTTCACACAGTGGCTTGCATGCAGTGCCAAAGATCCCCACAAGACATCAAAACAGAGGCATCTGCTATGATCTGCACATAGCCTAGACAAGTGTCTGCTGGGGCGGAGGGATGGCTGGCACAGAAAGGAGACACACAGCAGACAGGATGAGGGTTTTTGTTTTGTTATTTGAGTGACACCATAGTTGTTATTCTGAGACATAGTCTGGCCTCAAACTCAAACTTCATTCCTCTGCCTCCCAAATGCTGAGGTTACAGGTGTGTGCCACCACACCTGGCTGAGTGACAAAAGTTTTAAAAATACTTCTAATCTACCTGGTAGTAAAAGGTACTTGGAAACGAAAATATACTGAAGGCTCGCCCCCATGATTTCACCTGGAGATAGCCACTAGGCAGTATTCCATCTCTACCTGCCCATCTTTCGTGTTCTATAAATAACACATGTGACCCACACTCGTCACCAATGCGGTTCAGAGTTTGACTGTAAAGGAAGTGCTTTTATATCCTGTTGTGAAGCACTGTTCAGAGAGAGAGAGAGAGAGAGAGAGAGAGAGAGA